GAAAGCCATACCTACCATCCACGAACCACGAACCTAGCACACGATCCATCATCTTTCAGACGCCGTCGATGCAGACCACAATCTACATCCGCTCTTGGACTACCTCCCAAGCTCCGCACCAGCGTTGGAGCCAATGGCAGAGCCCGAGGATACATGTCCACCACGAGGATGCGACGACTGCTGCATAATCCTTGCTTGAATAGACTAATTTTTAAATTCATCCCCAACCATAGGACCGATCACCTCGTTGGAGTAGAATCTAAAGAAACTTTATTCAGCACCACCATCACCGCCGCCTAAGCAGAGACGATAAACAACCTAAAACACTAAACTACAAGAGCCTAAAACGATCAACACCGACGATCGAAGTCGTCGGACCAGGGGAGCCGCCAGAGGCCAGCGGTGGAGGCAAGTCCCTGGCGGCCGAAGGTGAGATCGCCTTTTCTTCTTATGAAGAAAGAAAAACGATATTTCTTTTTGTTGAGAATTTAAGGAATTTACAAGTTCTCACTTGATGGAAAAAAAATGAGGCACTACGGTTAGAGATGACCAAATGTACAATTTTTAATCCATTTACCATCAGTAGTTTAAATAGCTTCCAGAATTTCTTTTCCTGAGCCTGTAAAGGGTAGAAAACTGTAGGCAGCCACCCCTGGTGGATTTATCCCTTGTACCAGACCAATGCGATAGCATCAATAAAAACTTGAAAAAATATAACCGGTCTCGGTTGAAGTTGCATTGTAATGACCTAACATCAGTAACTAAGCTGTCGTTCTGTGAGCACACAAGAACCACAAACCATTTACAGTAATCTTAGTAAGCCACCTAAGTGCGGTGTGAGCACCGCACTTTAATATCCCTCCCGCCTAATATAAACAACCAGTGTTTACTCCATCACACAGTCCTTATGTTCCAGCTTCTAATCTACAAATTGTACATCGGATGTAGCATTATCCACGACTTTGGTGTTCCTTTAGTAGCTGTAAACATCTACAAAGGTTAGATGCCAATACCTACAGGAACTTAAGCCAGGGATCAGAAATCTAAGTTCAGTCGCAACCCACAAGGCCTGGAGGAAAGTTTTCGATTATACCTGATGTGCTGGCGATATTTTAAGTCTCACACAGTCATCATTCTGTTTCAACGGGTGCCCTGGTTCTTATCAGTGGCAGGTCCTAGCACTGTAATCACCTGCGGCATGGTCATTCCTCCAGAAACAATTATTTCCGTAGAGAGCTAATAGCAGAAATTTAAGAT